TCCATTCTCCTCTCGGGATCTTGGGCATGCATGCACACACGCCTGGCGTGAGTTTTAAGCCACCCGGTCCAGGACGGGAACTGTGGTCTACTACGTGGGAGTCCAGCAGCATAGCCATTACGCTAACTACTGGTTCCCACCAGACCTGGGGCTTGAACTGTGGTCAACTATGTGGGAGTCCAGTGACATAACCATTATGCCAGTTGCTGGTCTCACTCCAAACAACTTGTAATAGGAACCCAGTCTTCTGTCTCAAGTTTGACTGGGGAGAAGGTAGCCTCCTCTTACCTGGTGATTTCCAAATACAAAATGAGCATGACGATGGCATGAAAATTACCGTGTAGTGTTAGAGCACTGAATTAAGAGCAGACCAGACATGGAGAAATCAGAAGACATGTAGTAGGGGGGTCACTGGTCTATGGTTCCCAGCCCTGTGATGGGGCTGATGAGCCTATTTATTCATCAAATTCTGTTTACTAGGCTCTTGTACAGGACAAACTCCAAGGAATGTGGTTTGCGAGAGGGTGGACTGTCATGATGTCCTTATACTTTGCCTGTAGCTGCTGACCTTTTCATTCCTCGGTCCAATTCTCTAGGTAAAAATGGCTTCCTTACAGATTCACAGTGAGATTTGGGGAGACTTTCCTGGGGATATTCGTTTGGCTTTTAATTGGAATTTAGGACTTTGAACCTGATTCTGGGATCTCTGTGTCTCTCTGATAATGACCCATACATTGCTGTTGATCGTTCCCTAGTACTTCCTCCTGCACTTTCCCTTCTGGGTGTTTAATGGCAGGTGGTGGGTGCTAGAATTTGATTATTCCAAACTCTCTGCTGCTAATAACCTGGATGCAAGAATGCAAACCCCTGTACTGTTTATTTGCCAGGACTCTGGATTGTAAGAGGCCTGAAGTGAAGCTAGAAGAAAAAAAAGAAGGAATAATGTGTAAACCCCCCTAGATTTGGCATCTAAAAAACAAGTGTGGCTTTTTAAAAGAAATAGCCCCCAGGATTTTTTTTTGTGTGTGTGCTAGAGGGTACATGCAAGAAAGTGCACACCCCCCAACAGGTCTGGGTCAGGCTGCAACTCCCATTCCTCCAATTTTCCATCCTGTTGGTATTCTTGGGTGACATGTGTGCCTTGGGGTGCTTTTAGCTGCCAGGGCCAGAACTGGAACCCTGGATAGCCATGTGGGATCCAGTAACCTCTGTGCAACATTGAGCTGCTACACTTTGGGGCCAGCCCAGGAAGGTTTATTTTTTAAATTGCCAGTGTGCCTGTGCTCACCAGAGACGAGAAGGAGAAAGCACCTTCAGTGGGGCATGGTCACACCACTATTCTTTTCCCTCCATTTTTCCATCCCATCAGAATGTTGGGCATGCACACATACATACTAAGCGTATTATTCAAGCTGCCTGGGGAGGATTCAAACCATGGCTGGCTATGTGGGATCTGGCTCCCTTAATCATTAGGCTAAGGGGCTGGCTTGGAAGGTTTTTTTTTTTTTAAAGAGATTTTTGCTATAGTGAGCATACACTTGCCAGAGACAAAGACAGAAAGAAATTGCTCCCTAGGTGGAGGGTGGCCACTCTGCAGTCCCCTCTCCTCCATTCAACTCTTGGGATTTTGGCCATGCACACAAACGTGCCTGGTGCGTTTCAAGTCACTGGATCCAGGACTTGAAATGTGGTTGGCCATGGTGGAGTCCAGCACCTTAATCCCTATGCCCCCTGCTAGCCCTAGGTTTTTTTTTTTGGAGAGGGTTTCGCTATAGGGTGCGTGCGCTCGCCAGAAAGAGAGACAGAAAGCGAGAAATCACCCCCCAGAGAGGATGGGCATGCCACAATCCCTTCTCCTCCATTCTCCTCTCGGGATCTTGGGCACGCATGCACACGCGCCTGGCTTGAGTTTCAGCCACTGGGTCCGGGACGCAAACTGTGGTCGACTATGTGGGAGTCCAGCGACATAGCCATTACGCTAACTGCTGGTTCCCAGCCCCAGGTTTTTTTAAAATCAAACTGAAGTCTCTCTTTGTAAACCAAGTTATAAACTATGAAACTCCTTTCCTTTGAGATTTCCTTGGGCCAGCAGGAAATTTCAGTATTTAAGATAAACCTTGGGAAAAAGCTCAGAGGAAGGGGGAAGATGGATTTTTTTTTTTTTTGTCATAAGATTTATGTGCTCCTCCGAGAGGAGAGACAAAAAGAAGGAAGGTGAGAAATTACTCCCCAGGAGGGATGGCCACTCTACAATCCCTTCTCTTTTCAGGACTTTGGGCATGCATGGCTTGGCATTTCTTCAAGCCACTCGAGTCTAGGATTCAAACCACATCAGCCATGTGGGAATCCAGCCACCCTACCTACCAGGTCACCTGGTTGCACCATAGATAGATCTTATAAATCAGAAAACTGAAGGCTATTTAAAAAGAGGTTGATGACACAGATTAGAAAACAAGTCAAGTGTATATTGAAAGGGTCTCAATTTAATTAGTCAACTGGGAAATTAAAATCAAAATGTGATTGCTTTATCCACCCACAAAATTGGCTACAATGGAGGGATAAATAGACCATACTCTGCTCTGTAAGGTTGCGGAACAACCAGAATTCTCATAATACTGCTGGTGAGTGTAAAATGGTCCAGACTTCAAGAAAATGTTGGTCAGGGCCAGCAGATGGTGTGGTGATTCAAGAGACTGAACACCCACATGGCCAACTGTGGTTCAAGTCCCAGACCTAGTGGCTTATTGTCTCACTTTCTCTCTCTCTCACTCTTGCTCTGTCCTTCTCTGGTCAAATTAAAATGAATGAATGAACTAATGGGAAATGCTAAGCAGTCTACTTCTCAAAAACAAACAAACAAACAAACAAACAATTATTCAGTGCCACAGCAATTCCACTCCTAGGAATCTACCTAATAGAAATATGAAGATACAGTCATCAAATACACATGTACAAAAATGTTCATAGCAGTATTAATAGACCTATATTGGAAACATCCAAATTGACAACAATAGACAAATTTTGGTATATTCTTATAAGGAATGACCTATTGAAAACATGAAACAATACAATTCTTGCAAGACTAATGTGAACAAAGCTAGAAACAAAAAATGTACATCTTCTAAGCTTCCTTTTATATAAAGCTTAAAACAAGGCAAAATTATTGTCAGAGGAGTGGTTACCCTTGGAGGGGTAGGAGTGAGGAATGAATAACATCTAGAAGTAATGAGAGGTTTCTGGAATGTTGGCAATATTTCTTTACATGAGTGCTGGTTCTCAGGTGTGTTCACTTTGTGAAAACTGGAGTAATTATGCTTATGTAGGTGCACATTTTCCTATGTTATACCCCAATAAAATTCAAAAACATATTGATAATTAGACGAAGACTCTATCATGATTGAAAACTAAGTCATAGCATATGCACACTATATAAACTGATCTAAAAGTGCGTAAGGAGGGGCCAGAAGGTGGTATGGTGGTTAAGGCACTGGATTCTCATGTGGCTGACCATGGTTCAAGTCCCAGACTCAGCAGCTTGAAAAACATGCCAGGCACATATGCATGCATGCCCAAAATCTAAAGAGGAGAATGGAGAAGGGATTGTGGCCTGGCCAACCCCCAAGGGGTGATTTATTACTCCCCACCCCCTTGCCTAGCACACATCTTAAGGCAAACACACACATCTTAAGGCAAAAACTTAAAAATATTTAAAAAGTCCATAGGAGGGCCCAGCAAGTGGAACAATAGTTGAGGCAATGGACTCTCACATGGCTGTGGTTTAAGTCATGAACCCGGCGGCTTGCTTTCTCACTTTCTCTCTCTCTGGTGAGTGCATGTGCCCATAGCAAATTAAAAAAAAAAAAAGAATTCTTTATAAAAAATGCATAAGAAAAATAACTGGGCAAGACTAGCAGAAAGCTACTGGAAAAAAGTGAGGAGAGCCAAACTAAGCTAATATAATGGCCCATTCATGGTAGCACAGACTGAGTGCTGCTGTTTGACAGGTTAAGGCTACACAGGAGACCCCAGTTCAATTGCTAGCCCACCCTTAAAAGCCAGGCAGTGGCATGAGCCTGGAGTCCCAGCTTCTCAGGAGGCTGAGGCATGACAACAAACTCAAGACTGCAAGACTGACTTGGTGAAATGCTGCCTAAAAGAGCAGGGTGACTGGTTCCTTTGGACTGGGTGCCATTCCTGTTCCTTGTTCACTCACAGTACTAGCAGAGGAATGTGGTCCTAAGTGTGGTGCGTTATGGGTAGGGTTACACATATCTGTCCAACATGTCATTCAGACCTCCCATGTCCAGAAGTGCACAGCCAGATGGGAAATAATTATCTAAAGTGGGAAATACACAGTCCCATTATACCTCTATGTCATCCCTCCTGAAGAGTGCCTACCATTCTTCCAATATTCCATTTAATTCTCAATATTAAACTCAAGCTGAATTTGTTGAATAATGAATTATAATAGTTTTTATAATTGGAACTATGAAAAAAAAAGCTGGTAACCTCTGAATACCTATTCTGCCCAGCACTGTTCTGAGCACTCACACATACTCAATTTAGTTATCAAAACAAGTGTATGACAGGCATTTGCCTACTTTAATCTATGATGAAATGGAGATACAGAAGACAAGTGAAGTGCCTCGAGCCTTATGCTTGAATCTAAACTCTCTCTTTAACCCTCATAGTGATCTATACAAGTATGGGTGTTTATAAACTATAGAGTAACTGTGATGCTAAAGTCTGAGTATTATAGAAACCATTAATTTTTTTTGTTTTCTCATAGGATGCGTGGGCTTGTCAGAGAAGACAGAGAGGGGGAAGGAAGGAGGGGAGAAACGAAGGGAGGAAAAGGGATGAAAGAAAAAGTGAGAAAGCTACTTCCAATGGGATGTGATCACACAGCAACACTTTCTCCTCCATTTTTTCATCCTGTTGGGGTTTGGGGCATTCATACACATATACATGGCTTATTTTCCAATCTTCTGTGGCCAGGATTTGAACTGTGGCTGGCCACCTGGGATCTGGTTCCCTTAGCCACTAGACTATGGGTCTGGCCCAATGACAGGAATGTTTGACACTTCAAAGCTCACTTAGAAATGGGAGCTACTGGAAGTTTGATGACACCAAATTATGATCAGGATAACTGGAGGAGTCTCAATTCCTATCAGTGTAGATATGCAATATGAGGAGATAAACTCTTGAGCAAGAGTTATTCTTTTGACCCTGGTCAGAAGGAGGCTGGGCTACTTTTATGCACTGGGGACAATTAAGAACATGAATGGAACCCAGGTGATATACTTGGGCATCTCCTACTTGTTCCAAATCTTAAGGGATTCGAACCGCTGTCGACTACATGGGAGTCCAGCGACATAGCCATTACGCTAACTGCTGGTCCCAAAAGTTTGATATCTTATCTGACCGAGAGTGAAGGAATTCTGCATAACTAGACAAGAAAGTCCTAAGCAAGTAGCCTTAGAAGATCATGAGAAATGATGACACATGTATGTGGGGAGTGGCTGAGTCTGACCTGAACAATGGTGACCTTTAAAGATGAGCAAAGGCACAGATCAGCTCTCTTAGACTGATGCTCCACAGCCGGTGGGGGTTAAAGGAAACTGTTTCAACCAGAGGCCAGGGGAGGCTTGTTTAGAACCACAAGAAAAGACAAGACGTTCTACAGCTGACTTTTTACCTTGTGCTTCTCCGGCCTCCCTTCGCCCTATAGAATAAACCTAGGAAGGGCTCAGTGCCAGGGCGATTTCCATCAGAGATGCCCCATCCACCCAATACCCGCTTTTCTCTACTTGTCTGTTATTTCTAAATTTACCACCACTCTAATTTGGGGTCACACCTTCCCGCCTCACAGGCAGAGGCACATGTATATCCTAGATATGCTGCAGTAGTCTTGCTTTTAACGGATTTCTGTTCATTAAAGGGTGAGGTCTTTCTTTCAGTAGTTTCTTTTCTGTGCCAACACTATGATAAAAAGCCACCAAACAAATAGCCATAATTCTTAAAAAAATCAGCTTCATTTCTGAAATAGGTGGCTTTATTCCTCTTTGACCCAACAGATCTTGCCATTTTCTCCAAGCTGTACAGTTCCACTGGCCACCAGCTGGAGGGCTGTGGGAAATATTTTGTGTTCTGCTAATTTTACTCTTTCAGACAGAGTGGCCACAGTGTCACCCCTCTTCACAGGAACAGCTTCTTGTAAAATAATTTGTCCAGCATCTACATCTTCCTGGAAAAGGACAGAGAGTTTTGAACATTATCTTCTAGCAGTGTAATTCACACCTAAACACTAATACTACAATCAACCCTTGGGTAATGTGAGGAGGGTTAGGAGCACCAACACCCTGCCCAGCTGAAAATCTTCATATAACTTTTTTTTTTTTTTTGGAGAGGTTCTTTTTTTTCTTTTTTTGCCATAGGGCACATGCGCTCGCCAGAGAGAGAGACAGAAAGCGAGAAATCACCCCCCAGGGAGGATGGCCACACCACAATCCCTTCTCCTCCATTCTCCTCTAGGGATCTTGGGCACGTACCCACACGCGCCCGGCGTGTTTTAAGCCACTGGGTCCGGGACTCAAACCGCGGTCGGTTACGTGGCAGTCCAGTGACATAGCCATTATGCTAACTGCTGGTCCCTTCATATAACTTTTGACTCTGGAAACATAACCACTAATAGCCTCCTGTTGACTGGAAGGCCTAATAATAAACAGTTAACACCTGTTTTGTATGTTACATGTATTATATATTATTACAATTAAGTAAACTAGAGAAAAAAGTGTTATTAAAAAATCCTAAGAGAAAATGCATTCATACTGTTATACTGCATTTTCTAATAATTTTTCTGAAAAAAGATCTGTATAAATGAACTTGTATAGTTTAAACTGCACTCACTGCACAGTTTGAACATGCTGTTCAAGAATCAAGTATACTGGGGCCAGCAGGTGGCGTGGTGGTTAAGGTTCTGGACACTCCCACATGGCCAACCATGGTTTGAGTCCCAGACATGGTGGCTTGCTTTTTCTCTCTCTTTCTTTCTCGTGTCACTCTATGGTCAAATTAGAATAAATAAATAAAATTAAAAAAAAAAAAGATTAAAAAAAAAGAATCAGGTATACTTTGGCAGAAAAAGATACTTACAGCTACAAAGTGTACGGTGCACCCAGTAATTGTGACTCCAGCTTCCAGGACTTGCTCATGGGCATTGGAACCCTTAAAAGAAGGGAGCAAGGATGGGTGGATATTGAGCATTTTCCCTAGAAATTAAAAAAGCATAATAGTCAGAATTTGGGCCTGCAGGTAATGTGGAAGCACTAGATCCCGCATGGTGACTGTGTGGTTCAAGTTCCAGACCTCTTAGAATGCAGTGTGTGTGTGCACGTGTGTGTTTATGTCCAAAACTTCAAAAGAATGGAGAAGAGATTATGATATGGCCATCTTCCCTAGGGGGTGACTTCTCACTTTCCCTCTCTTTCTCTCTCTGGCATGTGCACATGCCCTAAGACAAAAAACCAAAAAACAAAAATCAAACAAACAAAAAAACCCCCCAAAAAACAAGGGCCAGCAGGTGGTGTGGTGGTTAGGGTGTTGAATTCCCATATGGCCGACTGCGGTTCGAGTCCTGGACCTGGCAGCTTCCTTCCTTGCTCTCCCTCTTTCTATGTCTCTAGTCAAAAAACAAAATAAATCATTAAAACAAACAAACAAAAAACCACAGTAGTAAGAATTTAAAAAACCCACATGTTGGGACCAGCAGATGGAATAAATGGTTATGTCACTGGACTCTTACATGGATGACTGTGGTTCAAATTCTGGACTCAGTGGCTTTGAACTCATGCCAGATGCACGTATGTGCATGCCCAAAATCTCGAGAGGACATGGCATTGCCATGTCCCCTGTGGGATGATTTCTCGCTTCTCTCTCTCTCTCTCTCTCTGGTGAGCACAGACAACCTATAGCAAAAATCTCTCTTCAAACAAACAAAACAAGGGGCTGGCAGGTGGCGTGGTGGTTAAGGGCACTGGATTCCCACGTGGCCAACAACTGTGGTTTGAGTCCTGGACCTGGCAGCTTGCCTTCTCATTTTCCCTCTCTCTCTCTTTCACTCTCTCCCTCTCTGGTCAAAAAAAAAGTTATGAAATATACACTTTCCTGCCTAAAATAAATGTCAACATGAACTGTATTTTTGGAATGGGTATTTTCTTTGCCAAATACAGAAATGAGGTAAAGGAAGTATAGTCTTCATCTAACAAGGCCCTGGAGCAGCAAGTGCCTGGCAATGGCATGCTGGGGGGCTCTAAACAGGCACTTGTGATGGAAAGGTGAGAGATCTAAGCTGGATGAGGGCTCTTGAAGAAACTTCTACTTGTTGCTGGTACAAATTCTTTTTTTTAAAAAGAATTATTTACTTTTATTTATTATTATTTTTATTTAGTATAGGGCTCACCAGAGACAGAGAATCAGAGAGAGAGAGACAGAGAGAGAAAGCAAGCAAGCTGCCAGGTCTGAGACTTGGAAGCTGCAATCAGCCATGTGGGAGTCCAGCACCTTCACCACCATGCCACCTGCTGGCCCATCTGCTAGTATAAACTTTAATGAGGGAAGAGGTTCTTACACAATGTCTATGTGCATGACTTTTAATCACAGTGTTGTGTACACCAGCTAGATGCTAGATTAGTTCTGTGAGCCTTTCTTTCATCAGAGGCATTGCTATAAGTGCTATAACTATATTCACCTAAGAAAACAAACTCCCTGGAGGGAAAATGCATTAACTGCCCAAATGTATGCACAAAAAAAGGAAAACAGAATGCAGTCAAAGTTTTTGGGGAAAAAGGGGGCAACACAGGATAGTATGTGTTTTCAAGGAAGGCAACACTGCCTTCCTTGCCATCTTCTGGCAATTGTCATATATATGCAAACACACACACACACACACACACACACACACACACACACACACTTATTTTAATCGCTAGAGGGTACATGTGATTGCCAAAGAGAGAGAGAAAAAGAGAGGAAAAAAAAAAAATACTTAACAGGGCGTGGTCTCACTGTAATCCTTTTCCCTTCACCCTTCCATTCCATCAGGATTTGGGGCATGCATGCACAAGTGCCCTGAATGTTTTTTAAGCCACCGAGGCTGGGATATGAACCACAGTTGGCCACATAGGTTTTGTTTAACCACTGCACTTAGGGGCTGGCCTTGGTCTATGTTTCTTAAGGAAAAGATGGACTCTTCCTTTTGGGATACAGGAAATCACTCTCTGTTACTTCTGATCAAGTGAAAAAAGGGTCTTCTGAATATTTATTCAGAATATAAAATATCTTTGCAGTACTGTGAAACAAAACAAAGTTATATTGGAAAATGTGACTAATTATAGCAAAGCAAAATTATGACCTATGTTAAAGTAAAATGTCACAGTGAATATATTTCACTACTGCAGCTGTTTGGCAAGTTAACTACTCTGGAGCCTACTTTCAGTTACTTCCCAATGAGATGTCCAACAATTTTTGCATACCATTCCATTTTTTGACAAAGGGGCCAGACAGAATCCTCATAAAGCCTGCAAGACAGACTATGTCTGTGGAAAACTCTTCGAGGACTTGGTCAATTGCATTGTCAAATTCTACACGATTTTTATATAATTTATGATTAATTACCTGTAACAGAAAAAGCATAACCTTTGTTAGTGAATTAACAAAAATTACTTAAAACTCAATCTTTACACAGACCATACTTTGCTTGCTGTGGAGACACATTTGATAGAGAGGATGAAAGAGAAGTCAAGGCGGGTACCTACCCAAAATGCATAAATTCAAAAAGCAAGATGGTACTTACATGAGGGCAGAATGTAAGTTTAAATACAGTCTGCAGGAAAGGGACTTTCCCAAGTTACTCACTCTGGTGGGAATACCAGCTCTTTCTGCTTTGTCCAATCCAGCGACTGCGGCTTTGTTGGAGATAACAACAACAATGTGTGCAGAGCTATTTGGATCTCGAGTACTGTCTATGAGTGCTTGGAGATTCGATCCTGAAAAGGGAGAAAAACACGCGTGAGCTCATACTTGTTAAAGAGAATTATGTGCCAGTTTAGAGATTGGTTAAGCTTTCTTTTAAAAAAGTAATTATTTATTTAATTGTATTTATTATTTTTTAAAGAATTACTTATTTTATTCATTCATTTATTTTACTTTTTCTTTTCTTTTCTTTTTTTTTTTTTCGAGAGGTTTTTGCCATAGGGCACGTGCACTCGCCAGAAAGACAGAAAGCAAGAAATCACCCCCCGGGGGTATGACCACGCCACAATCCCTTCTCCATTCTCCTCTCGGGATCTTGGGCACGCACGCACATGACCTGGCGTGAGTTTTAAGCCACCGGGTCTGGGACGCAAACCGCAGTCGAATACGTGGGAGTCCAGCGACATAGCCATTATACTAACTGCTGGTCCCTCATTTATTTTACTTTGATCAGAGAGACAGAGAGAGAGAGATTATTTATCCTCTACTCTACAAAGGTTGAACATAAATTTCTTGTTCACAACCCTATGAACAATTTAAACATTTCATTGTTTTCAGATATTTGAAAAACAAAGCCATGTTGCAAAAAATTGAAATTTCCATCCTGTCTTTTCTTTTACTTTCAGCATCTTTTTCACCTCTTCTATGTTTATGTTTGGGAGCTGTCTCAAATGCATAAGAAAAGTCATAAAAGGGGCCAGCAGGTGGTGTGGTGGATAAGGGTGCTGGATTCCCACATGGCCAACCATGGTTCAAGTCCTGGACCTGATGGCTTGCTTTCTCACTTTCCCTTTCTCTCTCTCTTGTCAAATAAAGAAAAAAATAACAGTAACACATGGAAATAAATAAATAAATAATTCTTAAAAAAAAAAAAAGAAAAAAGAAAAGTCGTAAGAGACTTTCCTTCTAGCCTGTGCTGAGAAAATCCTTATGATCTGAAAGAGTTTATTTTTGACTATTAGGGCAGAGGGAGTGGCAGGGAGGAAGGGAAGAACATTTCTACAATTCTGCAGTGAAGAGGAAGCCATTTACCTGTTCCAGATATTAAGACAGCCACTCTTGCTTTTTTTGATTGGACAGAGAAATGAACGTTCATGAAATAAATAATTCTAAAAAAAAAAAAAAGAAAAAAGAAAAGTCGTAAGAGACTTTCCTTCTAGCCTGTGCTGAGAAAATCCTTATGATCTGAAAGAGTTTATTTTTGACTATTAGGGCAGAGGGAGTGGCAGGGAGGAAGGGAAGAACATTTCTACAATTCTGCAGTGAAGAGGAAGCCATTTACCTGTTCCAGATATTAAGACAGCCACTCTTGCTTTTTTTGATTGGACAGAGAAATGATCGTTCATGGAGCCATTCTCCAACCCATTTATCTGCATGGTTTCAATCAGATTCTTGACTTTCACGCTTGGGGAACCTTCATTTCAAACATATCCATAAATAAGTAAAGAATAATTATGAATCAACAGAAATAATATGAAAAGAACTATTTTACAAAAATTTTAGAATGCCTTTTTTTATTATGAAAATAAGATATGTAAGGACTGAGATGAACAACAGGTTTCTATCACTTCCAGCTACCCATTCAATACATGGAACAGCTACTTCAATTAAGGGATACAAAACACATCACTGTATGGAAGCATGCAGTGGATTTATTACTGCCTGCCAGTGTCCTACTCCCCAAATCTTAGTGAGGCCATCTGGATAGCACCATGACCTCCAGGGCTCAGGAGCAGGCATGTAAGACCAAAGACTTAATATTGGATGTTAAGAAAGAAGAGGTTCTCTCTTAATATAATGGGACTGAAGGATGTTATCCTGGTATTCGGAGAAGCTGCCTGAAAATGATACCTAGGCAATAGAGAGAAGAAAGGCAGAAAAGATACAGTCAGCAAACTCTGATACATTTCTTGGCTAATCTGCATGGATTTTTTGCCATCCTGCCAAGTTCTAACACTTCTAGCAGAGGCCTGAATAATATGCAGTATTTGTCTGGATGTTTGTTCGCTATTTAATTGAGCTTAACCACAAATCAGAGGCACAAGGTCCTGTGTACAGGGAATTTACTTTGGGCAGTGATCTTGTGGCATGTAGCTGTGCATATGTAAATATTATACACGAGTGCTGAGTCCTGAGGCAGAAATGAAGGGATATGTGATGTCCCTAGAGTAAGTGCTGTCATGTTACACCAGTGTACAGACAATTGCTGTGGCCATGGTTGAAATGAAAAGTGGACAGAAAACTTGAGGCAGGACTAGTTGAGCAATTACCTTCAGGGCGTGCAACTACACTGCCAATCACCCAGGCTTCTTCCTTACGCTGCTGAATATCCTCCAGAACCTGGTCTACTTGATCCTTTGATACCACAAGGACGGCCCCGATCCCACAATTAAATGTTCTGGCCATCTCTTCTTCAGAGAGGTGTCCTACTTGTTGTAACCATGAGAAGACTGTGGGGATCCTCCAAGTCTGGGCATCTTAAAACACGCAACAGTTGTTTGATTAATTTAATGTCTCACACTAAGTATAAAAGTATACCCATATAGAAAGATACAAAAATTACAATCAGGCTCTGCTATTTTTTAAAGGGTAAAATTATAAACTGGATTTCTAGAAGCATTTTATCTTGGGGGAGTAAATCTGTACTTTAGATACTAAGTTTTTTTTGTTGATACACTTAGTATTCCTAATTGAGTACGGTTTTGTACTGCATTATCTAATTAGATCTTAGTAATTCCCTAATGGAGTAGATGTACTAGTAGCTGAATTATAGTGGAGGTTGGAGTATCACCCTTTCATGAATGTAAAACTGTATCTTGGGACCAGCAGTTAGCGTAATGGCCATGTCGCTGGACTCCCATGTAGTGGACCGTGGTTCGAGTCCCGGACTCAGCAGCTTAAACTCACACCAGGCATGTGCGTATGTGCCCAAGATCCCAAGAGGAGAAGGGATTGCGGCGTGGCCATCCCCTCCCGGGGGCTGATTTCTCGCTTTCTGTGTCTCTGTCTGGCGAGTGCATGCACCCTACAACAAAAACCTCTCCAAAAACAAAAAAACAAATAAACAAACAAAAAAAACTGTGTCTTAGCAGTGATCAAAAGGGATCCTAAGGGGACCAGCAGTTGGCATAATGGCTATGTCGCTGGACTCCTGTGTAGTAGACCATGGTTCAAGTCCTAGACCCGGTGGCTTAAACTCACACTAGGTGCATTTGCGTGGGTGCCCAAGATCCTGTGAGACTGGAGGAAAAAGGATTGTGGCGTGGTCATCCTCCTTGGGGGGTGATATTTTTTCTGCTTTCTGTCTCTTTCTGTCTTTCTGGTGAGCACACATGCCCTAATAGCAAAAAACTCAAAAAAGAAAAAAAAAAGGCACCCTAAGTAGGATGCAAAATTAGGTGGCTTTCTATGTAGCTTTGAAAGAAAAGAAAACACCATTTGAGAAAAGTCATTCTCCATAAAAGATTTAAGATTAACGTCTAGGGTCAGCAGGGGGCATGATGGTCAAGGCACTGGACACCTACATGACCAACCTCAGTTCAAGTCCTGGACCTGGTGGCTTGCTTTCTCCCTTTCCTTCTCTTTGTCTCTCTCTGGTAAGTGCATGCGTCCTGTAGCAAATTAAAATAAATTAAATGAAAATAATTCTTAAAGAGATAGATTAATGTTTACTCCTTTCAGTTATTTTAAAATTCAGACTTAGGGGACCGGCAGGTGGTATGGTAGTTAAAGGTGCTGGACTCCCACATGATCAACTGTGCTTCGAGTCCTGGACCTGGTGGCTTACTTTTTCACTTTCTCTCTCTCTTTTGTTCTGTCCCTCTCTGGTCAAGGTAAAATAAATAAAGTTAAATAAAATAATTCTTTTAAACAAAATTCAGACTTAGGTCTGTTTTATCCACTATTATTAAAATAATACAAGAAAAATCTCTCAATAATTTTTTTAGGTAAAGGCCTATACACACACACAATTCCTGAATAAAGGAATTAGGACAATTTTTTCTTTTTTAAAGAATTATTTAACTTTATTTATTTGTTTACTTATTTAAACTTGACCAGAGAGGGACAGAGTTTTAAAAAGCAAGAGAGAGAGCAGGAAAAATGAGAAAGCATGTCACCAGGACTGGGACTCAAACCATGGTAAACCATGTGGGAGTTCAGTGCCTTTAGCCACCATGTAACCTACTGCTTCCCCCACTTTTAAAAATTTTTGCCAGAGGGCACATGTGTTTGCTAGACAGGAGATATACAGAGGGAGAACACGTCCTCCCAATGGGACATTGGTCATGCCACAATCTCTTCTCCATCTCTCCGTCCTGTCAGAACTTAGGGTATGTACACACATGCACCTGATATGTTTTCCAAGTTGCCAGTGCCAGAATTCAAATCACACGGTCTGACATATGGATTTGGCTCCCTTAACCATTAGGCCACAGGGCTGCTCCCCACCCCCACAAGTTTAGCTATTTCTTCCATGAGTGCAAGAGGAAAATAGAGAGATAGCACCCCAACAGGGCCTTGATACCATGTTTTGTCCCTTGCCCAACCAGCTCCAGATCATAGGTACAAATATACCCTGTATACTCAGGGAAGGCTCTAGATGCAAATCTGAACCCTCCCATGTTGTTTGGTCTTGCAGAGTGTGACATTTTACAACTGTGCCACTACCTGGCTTCCTTTATCAAAAAAACAATTTGCCAGTGGGTGTGAGCACTCACCATAGAGGAAAACTTAGAAGGCATCCCTTATGGAGAATGGCCACGCCACAATTCTTCTACTCCATTTTTAATTTGGGGAGATGGGTGTGCATGCACATGCACCTCGCATATTTTTTAAGGTGCTGTGTCTGGGACTTGAACTGTGTAGTTGCCCATGTGGGATCCCCCTGCCTTCACCACTATACTATCTGGGACCCTCACATGCTGCTTTTTGACCTAACTCTGAAATACAATGGCCTATTTCTTTTTTGGAGAGGTTTCTGGTATAGGGTGCATGCGTTTGCCAGAAAGAGAGAGAGAGACAGAGAGATAGAAAGTGAGAAATTACCCCCCAGGGGGGATGGCCACACCGCAATCCCTTCTCCTCCATTCTCCTCTCGGGATCTTGGGCACGCACGCACACGTGCCTGGCGTGAGTTTAAGCCACCGGGTCTGGGACTTGAACTGCGGTCGACTACATGGGAGTCCAGCAACATAGCCATTATGCTAACTGCTGGTCCCACCTATTTCTGGTCCTCATCCTAAATCTCCATGCTGTACCTGACATTGCCGACTAGTTTCATGTCAAAAATTTTACTCAGTTTTGACATATTTTTATATGACCTATTCCCCTGAACCTTACTGTTCTTTTCAGTAATTCTACAGCTAAATAATAACTTTTTGGTCCCTTCTATTTTCTTAGATACTACTTGTATGTGAATACCATCACTTAACTTACCTTTAACCTGATCCCCACTTCTGTTCACAAATGCCTTGGAATAAACACATCAAAGATTTAAAATGGCAGGGCAGGTGGTGTAGTGGTTAAGGTACTGGACTCCCAAGTGGCTAACCATGGTTTGAGCATCGGAGTTGGTCATTTGCTTTCTCACTCCCCCTACCCCAGTCAAATTAAACAATGATGTTGATAATAATAATAAAAAAATAAAATGAATAATTCTAAAAAAAGATTTAAAATAGTCAATTCCCACTTTCTACTCTAAATCTATCCCTTCTATCCTTACTCTTGTGCTACTGATGTTACCATCTATTTATTTATTTAATTAGAGACCTAGGATTTTCTTTTCTTTTTTTTTTGGAGAGGTTTTTGCTATAGGGCACATGTGCTCGCCAGACAGACAGAGAGACACAGAGAGATAGAAAGCGAGAAATCACCCCACAAGGGGGATGGCCATGCTGCAATCCCTTCTCCATTCTCCTCTCAGGATCTTGGGCACACGAGCACACATGCCCAGTGTGAGTTTAAGCTACCTGGCCCGGGACTTGAACCATGGTCAGCTACATAGGAGTTCAGCGACATAGCCATTACGCTAACTGCTGGTCCCTTTCCTTTCTAAGCATAACATGATCTGTATCCATTCCCTATACCTTGGTTCAGGTACCTATAACTCCTGTAGGTGTAGACTACTTAATAACTAACAGCTCCCTCCCCAGAATACAGGAGGATTCCATTTCAATACAGTTTGAGGTTACATACTCCCCTGGAGTACTTGCTTATTGTGCTTCATCTTTATGTAAGCGAGTTACATGAGAAGATTTTATGCCTTATAATCATGGATAAAAAAGCAAAAAGAGGTAGAAAAGGTTCATCCTACTTCCCCCCATATTTAGCTCCAATGATTAAGAATTTTCTATGTACAATCACATATGTATTAACTACAGAGTTTTCTCCCATAATGTATGTTTTTTTTACTTAATGGTTTTTTTATTTATATATTTATTTTTAAAAATTATTTTATTTATATTTATCTCCCCCTGCCCTATTCCCACCACCTTAGTCTCCCTGAGGATGCTTTTCTAAACGTCTGCTTTCGTTTCTACAACTGAAAGGCTTCCTCCAGTCCCTGCTATTAACTTGTCAGCCCCAGTCTTCTGCCTTTTCTTTCCTTCTCCTTATACCACCATTAACATTTGAAGTAACATTATTATTATTGTAGAAGAAACAAACTAAAGGTGGTTTATGAGTTGATCTTTACAAAAGGGGCTGGGACACCAAGGCCCTGCCTGAGGAGCGGGGAAGGAGACTTCCCAGACCAGTTACCTACGGCTTCCTACACCCAGGGGGAAAAACCACCGTTTTATCATCACATCACACTGGGAGAAGCCCTCGCCCAAAGCCCCTCCCCGGGCTCACAGTGGTGGGTGGTGAAATAGTGCCCTGCAAGGCTGGCACCACGGGAGGCTCCAGGATCATGTCGGTAGACCACGTGGCTGAGTACACCTGCACACACACGCCTATGAGCTGGGGTGAGCCGAGGCTGTGGGTGGATCACAGTGTTACCCTATTGGGGGGAGGGTTAGCAGGTGGTGTGGTGGTTAAGGTGCTGGGCTCTGACATGGCTGACCACAGTTCAAGTTCCAGACCTGACGGCCTGCTTTCTCACTTTTTCTCTCTGGTCAAATTTTAAAAATAATTTTTTCTTTTCTTTTTTTTTTTTTGAGAGATTTTTACTATAGGGCATGTGCACTCATGAGAGAGAGACAGAGGGACAGAAAGTGAGAAATCACCCCTCAGGGGTATGACCACTTCACAGTCCCTTCTCCTCTCGGGATCTAGGGCATGCACACACATATGCCCGGTGTGTTTCAAGCTGTCAGGTCCAGACTCAGACCACAGACAGCCATGTGGGAGTCCAGAGCCTTACTACACCACCTGCTAGCCTTGATACATAATTCTTACTGTTTTTTTTACAGTTCTTTTATTTAACTTTATTAATTTATTTACTTTTTAATTTGACCAGAGACAGAATGAGAGAAAGTGAGAAAGCAGGCTGCCAGGTGGACTCAAACTGTGGTCGATCATGTGGGAGTCCTGCGTCCTTAACCACCATGCCACTTGCCGGCCCCCAATACCAGCTACTCTTAACAGAAACAGTTAAACATGTAACTATATCCTACAAACATTCAATAAAAATGTATTCTTTTAGATGAGGTAACTGTCAGTCTGGCTGAAGGCCCAGTTGAATATAACATCATTCTAGAGTAGTTAAATTTCAAAAATGCACATATATTTGATCTTTATAATCACTCCATTTTCCAGTTGATGGTATAGGCTTAGAAAAGTGATTTAACTACAACTGCCCAACTTCAACTGTCATAGCCTAAAAAGCATAACACAGTACACTGTACAATCAGACCATGTAAAGATGTAAGGTATAGACAAACTCCAAGTTAGAAAACTGTGTTCTGTAGTGTGTAATGTTTGGCTTTTGGGAAAGATTTGTCCTTAGAAATGGTAATATGAAAGAGGTAGTTTTCTGTTCCTAGGTCAACCTACAAATTCACTTTTCAGAATACGCTAATATACAGGTAAGCAATATTTCTATAAAACCTAGGTACATTTTTTTTCGTTTATGTCACTTTCTATGGGAAAATATGTCTTAAGATTTGGAATGCCTGGAACCCATCTGTCTCTGCCGTAGGGCCAACTAGGAGGAAGTAACCTCTAGGCCCATCCATTGGGGTGGCTAGTGAGAAAGATGAGGACAGAAGAGGGGGCCAAAGATTGGGGAGAAAGACAAGGCCTTTAGAAAGAGAGTCCAGGAAACAAAGCATTGAGGAGGGGTTTGAGGGTACCAAGATCGAAGTTTAATTTGAATAGCTATATATATATTTGCCACATCATGTGACATATAGTCTCTTGCTCTAGCTATATTGGCACCAATCATGTTTATACATAGTGCTACAACAAAATAAGAAGGGTGTATGATTAAAGTGGATGATCATACCAAGAAGAGCACATCCAGCTTTTCCACAAGCTCTAGCAATTCCAGCAACAACAGCTTCAGTCGTACCGAGATCAAGTTTTCCACAGGAAAAGTAATCAAGGAAGAAGAGGGGCTCTGCTCCTTGTGCCAGAATATCATTTACACACATTGCAACCAAATCTTGACCAATAGTATCATGTTTGTTGCACAGCTGGGCAATCTATAGACAGCAATATGAACATCCAATTAGAAAATAAACTCTGGGGACCAGCAGTTAGTGTAATGGCTATGTCGCTGAACTCCCATGTAGTTGACTGCAGTTCGAGTCCCTGGACCCAGTAGCTTAAACTCATGTTGTGCACATGTGCGGGCGTGCCCAAGATCCCGAGAGGAGGATGGAGAAGGGACTGCGGTGTGGCCATCCCCCCTGGGGGAATGATTTCTCACTTTCTATCTTTCCATCTCTCTGGCAAGTGCACGTGCCCTATAGCAAAAACCTCTTTAAAAAAAAAAAAAGAAAAAGCAAAGAAACCCTGGGCCAGCCAGTGGCATGGTTAAGGTGTCTGGGTCGCACAGCTGACAGTGTGGTTTGAGTCACAGACCTGGTGACTTAAAAAACATGTCAAACATATGTGGGTTCGGGACTAAAATCATGACAGAGAGAGATGGAAAAGAATGGAGTGTGGCATGACCATCACCATAGGAGGTGCTTTTTCACTTTCCCTCTCTAGCTCTCTCTCCCTGGCAAGTGCTGCACATATCTTCTAGTAAATAAAAATAAAAAAAATAATAATAAAAAAACAGATAAGCTCCCGACTGTATCTTGTCATTTTATCAAAGGAGGCTAACAAATATCACTGACTTTGGCTAGTCACTTTTCTTTGAAGAATCTATAGTTTTTATTATTACAAATAAGCCTCATTTCAATTCTGTTACTTTGACACAGTAAACAATTTATTCCAATAAAGTATTCTACCCAAATGAAAGCATAATATGCAAGTATTTTAACTGTTCCTATTTGAAGGTCCTTATTTCTGGAGAAAAGCAAGGCATTTTACTATCCATTCTTTCTATTCCTTAAAGGCTTCGACAGGTTTCCAGGAAAACTCATATGATCATCCAGACGATGTTTTGGAGTCACTCTGGATATGCTGGCAGACTCATCATCAATCTCTCTCACCAAAGCTTTGTATCTTTCTACAGTGCTGAAATCAACTGCACATTTTCAACTTCCAGAAAAAGATGAGGCACAGGTTGAAAAGGTGCCAATTTGCCTTTTCAAAGTGGTTGGAGCTTTACATTAGGCAGGTGAAACACTGGCAGTGTCACTGTCCAAGTTTGTGTCCAATCTCATGGGTTAAAGTCTTATAGGATCAAAGCAATAGAACGCTAGTTATTCCAGTAATAGTTATCAAAACCTGAATAGTCACCTGAGGATGTTTTCTGGGGCTTTCCCCCTTTGCTTTCATATGTGAGCTAAAAAATAATCATGGCTGTACTTGGTAGAACTGAGTATCACACCATCTGTCAAAGATGCTTGTCCAAAAACAAAATTCCAAGTCTATTGAATAAGGATCAATTTTATTATTCCCAAGACACAGAGGTATCTTAGGTTTCTTCTTCTTCTTCAGGTTTCTTCTTCTTCTTTTTTTTGGGAGAGGTTTTTTGCTATAGGGCGCATGCGCTCGCCAGACAGACAGAGAGAGACATAGAGACAGAAAGCGAGAAATCACCCCCCAGGGGGGATGGTCACGCCACAATCCCTTCTCCTCCATTCTCCTCTCGGGATCTTGGGCACGCACGCACACGCGCCCAGCGTGAGTTTTAAGCCACCGGGTCCGGGACGCGAACCGCAGTCAACTACATGGGAGTCCAGCGACATAGCCATTATGCTAACTGCTGGTTCCCCAGGTTTCTTCTTTTTAAGAACCTGTACTGTGTGAATTTATGGGTTTTATGTGTGCTCTCTGACTCTGAAGGAATACCTCACTGCAGAATCAGTTTTAGGAGTTAGATTCCTAAGCCATAGAACATTTTATGTAACTTTATTCATTTTTAAATTTGACTAGAGAGAGAGACAGAATGAGAGCAAGAGAGAAAGAGAAAGTGAGAAAGCAAGCTGCCAGGTCTGGGACTCGAACTGTGGTTGGCCATGTGGGAGTTCTGTGCCCCTAACCACCACACCACCTGCTGGCCCCGAATACCAGCTACTCTTTTTTTTTTTTGAGAGATTTTCGCTATAGGGCGCGTGCGCTCGCCAGACAGAGAGAGACATAGAGACAGAAAGTGAGAAATCAACCCCCGGAGGGGATGGTCACGCCGCAATCCCTTCTCCTCCATTCTCCTCCTGGGATCTTGGGCACGCACGCACATGCGCCCGGCGTGAGTTTTAAGCCACCGGGTCCAGGACGTGAACCGTGGTCAACTACGTGGGAGTCCAGCAACATAGCCATTACGCTAACTGCTGGTTCCCAATTCCAGCTACTCTTAACAGAAACAGTTAAACATGTAACTAACTATATCCTACAAACATTCAATAAAAATGTACTCTTTTAGGATAAGGTAACTGTCAGTTTGGCTGAATGCCCAGATGAATATAGCATGTAACAGTAGCTCTTGAACCATTTAGTATATATGTATTTATGTATTTTTTAAAATAATTATTTTATTTAACTTTTATTTATTATTATCATTATTATTTTCCAGTTTGATCAGAGATAGACAGAGAGTGAGTGAGAAAGTAAGCCACCAGGTCCGAGAGTTGAACTGTGGTTGGCCATGTAGGAGTCCAGTGCCTTTAATCACCATGCCACTTGTCAGCCCCCTGTATATATAATTTAAAAGACTTATTTAAATTGGGAACCAGCAGTCAGCGTAATGGCTATGTCGCTGGACTCTCATGTAGTAGACCGCAGTTCGAGTCCTGGACCTGGTAGCTTAAATTCACGCTAGGCGTGTGTGTGTATGCCCCAGATCCTGAGAGGAGACTGCAGAAGGAATTGCGGCGTAGCCATTCCCCCTGGTGGGTAATTTCTTGCTTTTTGTCTCTCTGTCTTTCTGGTGAGTGCATGTATCCTATAGCAAAAACCTTTCAAAAAAAATTAAATTTTATTCATTGTCATTATTTCATTTTATTTTTTTGAAGTTGACCAGAGAGAGACAGAGAGAGAGAGAGAGGGAGAGAGAGAGAGAGAGAGAGAGAGAGAGAGAGAGAAAGAAAGTGAGAAAGCAAGCTGACAGGCTCAGAACATGAACTGTGGTCAACCATGTAGGAATGTCCAGTGCCTTAATCACCATGCCACCTCTGGCCCCTTTAGTGTAGTTTTTATCTTACAAGAAAGGGCATGTTTGGACCTGGCCTGTAAAGTGCTGTAGAGCAGAGGTCTTCAACTTCTGGGCCAGACTGGTGCTGGTCTGTGGCATAATAGGAAGTGGGATACATAGCAGAAGGTGAGGAGCAGGAGAGTGAGAGAAGTTTGATCTGCATTTATACCCACTCTCCATTTCTCTCATTACCACCTGAACTCTGCTCTTCTTGTCAGATCAGCAGTCATTAGATTCTCAGGAGTCCCCAGACGGGATCATCTGGTTGCAGATAGGACTAGTGAGTTAAAATAAGCTCAGGGGTCCCACTGATTCTGAATTCTGGTGAGATGTATAATTACTTCATTATATATTACAATGCAATAATAATGGATATAAAGTACACAATAAATGCAATGTACTTCAATCATCGCGAGACTATCCCTCTCCCCAACCCATGTATGGAAAAGTTGTCTTCCACAAAACCTATCCCTGGTTCTAAAAAGGTTTGGGACTGCTGTCATGGAGGATATCTTCACCCATGTCAGACCTGGATGCTGCCTGTTCACCTGACTCCTGGGTTGCCCCTATGTTCATATGCACTGTCGGCTAGTAACTCTTACTACATAAAGGAAAAAGCCTAGTGGTCATGGAAGCTGGATCTCACACGGCTGACTGCGGTTAAATTCTGGCCCTGGCAGCTTGAAAAATACACCAGGCGTATGTGCAGGGTGTGCCAAATTCCAACGAGATGGAGAAATGGAGAAGTGATAGTGGTGTGATTACATCCCACTCTGGAAGTTAAAAAACAAAAGACAGAAAGAATACTAAATTCTGATCAGCTAGTTGGGCCAAAACCGTAACTCCTTATCCCTTAAAATATCCTTTCAGGACCAGCAGATGGTGTAATGGTTATGTTGTTGGACTTCCCATAGTCAACTGTGGTTCAGCTCTGGACCCAGCAGCTTAAAATTCACACTGGGTGTGTGTGCGTGGGCATATCCAAAATCCCTAAAGAAGAATGGAGAATGGATTGTAGCATGGCCACCCCCTGGGGGATAATTTCTCTGTCTCTGTCTCTCTGGCAAGTGCACGCACCCTATAGCAAAAATCTCTCTCTTAAAAAGAAATCCTTTGGGAACCAGCAGTTAGCATAATGGCTATGTCGCTGGACTCCCACGTAGTCGACTACGGTTCGCGTCCCGGACCCGGTGGCTTAAAACTCACGCCGGGCGCGTGTGCGTGCGTGCCCAAGATCCCGAGAGGAGAATGGAGGAGAAGGGATTGCGGCGTGACCATCCCCCCTGGGGGGTGATTTCTCGCTTTCTGTCTCTAATGTCTCTCTCTGTCTGTCTGGCGAGTGCACGCGCCCTATAGTAAAAATCTCTCTCTCAAAAAAAAAATCCTTTCATTCAAAAATAGCCTCAATAATATTTTATTGTTATATATCTATATCTATCTAACTATCTATCTATCTATCTATCTATCTATCTATTAGCATATTATGTGGTTATTTGGTATGGTTCTTTTTGGCTCATATGTGTCAACAGAGAAATATATGCATTTGACATATAGTAAGTTCCCTCTTATCTTTCACAAACTGCTTTTATTCACAAAGGTGTTGCATTACCTTCAGTTTAGTTCCAACACCATCTGTTCCAGAGGCCAGAAGAGGATCTTTGAAACCGGCTGCTTTCAAGTCAAAAAGACCAGCAAAACCTCCAAGATCAACTTCACAGCCTGTGGGAGAAATTAACCAATTGCTACATTTTAATAGATTAATTAAACATGAATATAAAGTTAAACCTTGAACATGAGGGTTAGGCGTGCTGACCCCCACAATTGAAAATCTGCACATAATCTTTTTAAACACATTTACTTATTTATCCCATGAAAGAGACAGACAGAGCTCCTGAAAGATCTTGATGCCGCCAAGATCCATCCCCAGTGTCAGCCAGCTCCCGATAATGGGCATGCACACATGCCTACAATATTCAAGTTCTCTGGATGTGAACTCAGAACCCCGCCATGTAGGTCAGGCTTGCAAAGCATCACATTTTACCACTGTGCCACTGCTCAGCCCTGTGTGTAACTTTCGCCTCCCCTCAAACTTAACTACCAATAGTCTATTGTTGACTAGAAGACTTACTGTTAGTTTACTGTTGACCAGAAGCCTTACTATTAACATACACATTTTATATGTATTATATGCTGTATTTTTACAATTAAAAGAAAATAAATGTTATTAAAATCATAAAGAAAAAATATATTCATAGGATTAAAAATATCTACATAAGTGGACCCACAAAGTTCAAACCCATATTGTACAAGGGTTAACTTTATATACTACTTTTTTATATAAGAATAGCTAAAACAAGAGATGCTTTTTCTGAGAATAGGAGACAGTGCACTATGTGCTTAAAGAATCGACTAATAAAGTACTTAATATCAAAGGAAGTTACATGTGCTTTAGAGTGTAAAATCATAGATAAATGCTTTCCTTAATATTAGAGACCAGAAAGGAGGTAGATCATGGGTTTAGCTTACGTAGGGCTAGACTTACAGCAAACTGGCAGTAATCTGGAAAATTTTCCTCCATTAAATATAAAGACCAGGGCCAGTAAGTGGCATGGTGTTAAGGCGGCTGGATTTCACATGGCTGACTATCCTGTTTGTGTCCTGGAACCAGAGCCTTCAAAAACACACTGGATATATGTATGTGCCCAAAATCCCAAAAGGAAAAATGGAGGAGAAAGGATTATAGCATGGCCATCCCCCATGGGAAGGGTGTTCTGTCACTTTTCCTGTCTCTCTCCAATGAGTGCACATGCCTTCTAGCAAATTAAAAGAAAAAAATTCAAATGAATTCACAATGTCTGTCAAAGGTAATGAATCAGAAAAGTACAGGATCTCACTCACCTGACCTAGAGGTGGCTTTTGCTAAAGGCTGAATTTTCTTGACCAGCATATTTCCAGCAGCAATGTCTACCCCTGATTCCTTGTAAGTCAGGCCCCTAAAGAATTAACAACACCAAAACTAAGACATCACCTAAATGCCAGGGAAAATTATTTTAAATCTTACAATATTATTTAAAGCAGAAGATATCCCAAGTGATTCTCATATACCCTAAGGTGCTTATACATTTTAAAAAGTCAGTGCTGGGGCTAGCAGGTGGCATGGTGGTTAGGGTACTGCACTATCCACGAGTGACTGTGGTTCAAATCCAGGGCCTGTTGCCTTGCTTTCTCACTTTCCCTCTCTCTGTCTCTGGTGAGTGCACATTCCCTACAGCAACCTAAAAATAGTAACAAAAAATAAGATAAAATAGATAAATAAATAATTAACAACAAGGCAATGGCTGGGCCCCATCCATTGAGATTCTGATTTAACTAGTCTAGGGCCTGCCCTGAGAAGTAAAATATGTTTAAACAATGTCCCCAGTAGATTCCATTGTTATTACTTCTATTGAGAACCATTCATCTAACTTTACCTATTTCTTTAAAAAGCACATCTCACAGGCTGCTAAATATACTTTTTAAAAAATTATTTATTTAATTCCATTTGTTGTTATTATTTTTTAATTTGACCAGAGAGAGACAGACATAAAAAGGGAAAATGAGAAAGCAAGCCACCAGGTCCGGGACTTGAACCACGGTCAACCATGTGGGAATTCTTTAACCACAACTTTTAAAACTAATTTTTTTATTGTGGTAAAATATGTATAACATATAATTAACCATTTTAGCCATTTTTAAGTTCACAGTTCAGAGGTATTACATTCATAATGCAATGATCACCAACACGCATCTCCAAAACTCCTTTCATCTTGTAAAACTGAAAACTGCACATATTAAATAATAATTCCCATTTTCTCTGCTTCCCTCAACCCCTGGTAACCACCACTCACTCCACTTTTAAATATACTGATTTTTTGCCATAACCTTTGTTGGTTAAGTTTGGTATGGGCAGAAAAGGAGGGCCAAAACCAAATCAGCAAAGTAAAAATTAGAGCTATTAAAAACTCTACAGAAAAATCCCTAAATAATAAAACTAAGTTCTTATTGCACCAATATATAACTGTATCCGTTTCCTTATAGCCGAGTAGTAAGAACAAGATGAAACAAAACAGAAAAGGTGAAACCAGGTAAAGATGTTTGGTGCATCATTTCTTTTATATAGAAGCAACACACTGGAGATCAACATTTAAGAGATCACCTTTGTGAATGGCTTTGAATTTAGCAGTCTTGCTTGGCAATAACAAGAACTTTGGCCCACTGGGATGCAGCGATACATGAAAAAAACAGGCGAGGTTTTATTAGAAATAGCTGGTAGGGTAGTACAACTAAAGGTGAGAACATTGGCAGTAACCCCAATCAGTGGCCCAGAGCCATTCCAAGAAGGGAAACAAAGTCCTAATGCTTTAAAAAACTTTCCCTTGGATAGCAACTCCGATTTCATTTTTAAAGGACTCAAGAACGGAGACTGCAGTCCCTCGAAAAAGGCCATTTCAATACAATCTAGTCATTTTCAAATGAAAAATAAATTTTTAGCATGGTGTTTTAATAGTCCTGTTTCTCAAAAATTCCAGTTCTTAAACTTTAAAAATCTCTCAGTAACAGTATAGCTTGAATTATGTTGCTAAATTTTTTTTCATTGTGCCTTAAAATGTTACCACAGATGAACATAGAGAACAATACTAAATGTGTGTATATATATAAACACACTTAAGAAATCAAAACACCCACATTTGCAGCTAATAGTTTATTGATTTTATAAGTGTTATACAAACCAATAAATGAAATAGTAAGGGTCAAAAATACATTTCAGTAATAGACATACATGCAGTGATAAAATGAGACTACACAAGCTTACCGTATAATCAAATTAAGTTACAAAGTTAGATGACCAATATTTTAATCTTAAATTCTTTGACAAATCAAGGAAATGATTCGAATACAATATTTAACTGTGATAGCTCAAGGAAAAAAATTCTTAACATTACTGCAATTTTGCTAAACTTTTCAAATATAAGAAACCACTATGGGGTGTTCCCCACCCCCCATTTAATATCAATACTGTTATAAGCAGTTTTTCCTCAAAACGAATTATGAACCAAGATCATCAGATCAATCCCCTAGAGACAAAGAACATTAAAATGACTTTACAGGGCTAACGACATTTTCTACTTGGCTATTTAGCCTAGTTGTGAAACTAAGCTATAATCACTCAGTAATACAATTTTACCTGGGCTGCTGGAGGAAAGCTATAGCACGGAAGCCGATGTCCTTCCTATAAATTGCTCCCTCAAACTTTATAGCAGCTAGTCCCTTCTTGGCTTCTTCAAGGGCTGATATGAGATTTTCCTGGATGGACGTTATTGTGAGGACTCTACCCCCACTGGTCACTACCCTGCCATCTTTGAAGGTAGTGCCTGCGTGGAAAACCTCTAGTCCTAAAGCTTGAGCCTCAGAAAATCCTGTTAAGAGAACAAATTTGACAATGTGAAGTAGCAACAGTATTTCACAATGTAGTGATTTATAACTTTAGTAAGCTAAAAAACAAAAAAACCCACGTCAGCCCATCGGCAGTGGCATGGTGGAAGTGGAACACTATACACTGCTAGAAGCCTTATGGAAGATCAGAGTTTGACTTCTTTGTTGATCTGTTCATGCTGGGTATGTATGTACCTGCCCATGATCCTGGCTGTCTAAGAAGGCTGGGGGAAGGACCACAAGGCCTTGTTCAGGGTACTGGTCTTTCTCTCATGAAAATAAACTAAAAAACGAAGAATTCTCCTCCAAACCCCACCTTTATCTCATTTAATCTTCAGAGGAGTCCTATTGGCAGGCCCGGCGGTGGCATGGTGGTTAAGGTAGCTGGATCTCACCTGCCTGACTGCTGTTTGAATCCTAGATGGCTTGAAAAACATGTTGAACAGGTGTGTGTGTGTGTGTGCCCCAAATCCTGATAGAATGGAGAAGGGACAATGGGTGGCCACGCACACTAGAGGTGCTTTCTTACTTTTTTCCCCCTGCCCCTGACAGGTACATGCACCTACAGCAAAAAAAGAATCCTACTGGCAGGAACTAATATAATACTAAACAAACTCAAACCCTTTCTGTCAAGAACACTGTTCTATTTTAGAGTGATAACTATTCTATCATGTGTGGCAAACACGTTTCAATCAATAGATGGTGAGTATGACAATTGTAATATAAGATTATAATCCAGCTGGAAAATTTCTATTGCCTAGTAACACTGTAGCTATCCTCACACCATAGCAAATGCATAACTGAAGTGCTTGTGATGCTGCTGTAAACTACCCTACTGTGTTGCTACTTTCACAGAAGTATAGAACATACAATTATGTACTATACATGGTGTTTGATCATGAACAACTATGTTTAGATTTATGTACTAATTATGCTATTTTAGAGTGTATTCCTTCTAATTATTAAAAAAAGTTAACTATAAAACAGTGTGGTCTATATGCCCAATAGCCTATCTAGGCTTACTGAGTTCCTTTGACTACATCATTTTCTCTCATACTTGATTTAATTTTGTCCACCACAGTCTATCCAGTGGGACAAAATGTGGAAGGAGGAGACGAGATATTGATGATCTTGATTGCATGTAGGCCTAGGCAAATTTATGTGTGTCTTACTTTTTAATAAGTTTAAAAAGAATTTACTTTCTAATTTCTTAAATTTGCTAGAGATAGTGTGTGCTCCCTGAGGACAGAGAGAGAGGAAGAAAAAGAGAGAAAGCAATCCCTACAGAGCATGTTCACACCATAATTCTTTCTGTTCCACCTCTCCTTTTGGGATTTTGTGCACACATGCACATGTACCCAGTGTATTTTCAAGCTGCTAGGTCAGGGACTTGAAATGCCACTGGCTGACCCAGAATTTTTTTTTTTTTTCTAAATAGTAAAACGTGGGTTGGTTCTGTGGTCTGGTGGTTAAGGCAGCTAGATGCTACATGGTTGACCATGCAGTTCAAGTCCTAGACTTGGATGCTTGAGGAACACACTATGTGTGTATGTGTGCATCCCCCAAATCCTGAAAGGATGGAGAGAGAAGGAAGGGACTGTGGTGTGATTTTTTTCCATGGAGAGTGCTTTCTCTTCTCTAGTGAGTACATGCACCTTAAATCAAAAAAGAAGTAAAAAGCTCATAAAAGCTTAAGGATATAGAAAGATATAAAAAATGTCTGTAAAGCTGAATGATTTGTTTTATATATTACTACAAGAGTCACAAAGTTAATGTAAACTAAGGTTAACTTGTTACTGAAGAAATAAAAATAGTTTTTAAATAAACTTAGTGTAGCCTTAATGGACAGTTACAAAGTCTAGAGAAGTTAATAGTAAAGTCCTATGTCTTCACTTGCTACTCACTGACTCACCCAGAGCAGCTTCCAGTTCCAGCAAATCTAGTTCATGTTAAGTGCTCTATCCAGGTGTACCTTTTTTTATCCTTTATACCATGTTCGTATTATTATCTTTTCAATGTTTAGATACACAATTATTCTTGTGCTACAATTGTCTACAGAATTCAGTGCAATAACATGCTGTATAGATTTGTAGCCAAGATCTGTGTACTCTGTAAACTCGTAATGATGAAATTGGAAACAATATACTTTTCAGATTATGTTTGTATTAAGTGACACATGACTGTATTCCTAAGAGCTTATGTTGTAAATCTCAACAATTGAGCCAGCCAGGCGGTGTGGTAGTAAAGGGGGCTGGGTCTCACATGGTCCACTGTGTGGTTTGACTCCTGGACCTGGCAGCTTGGAAAACAAACTAGGCATGTCTGTATGCACCCACAAAACCCGAAGGAGAGAATGGAAGAGAGGAGATTGTGGCATAGTCATCCCCTGTAGAGGGTGCTTTCTCACTTTCGATGTCTCTCTGGGGCTAGCGTATAGGCCTTGACAAAAATATAAAAGAAAACTGGGAGACCAGCAGTTAGTGTCATGGCTATGTCACTGAACTCCCATGTAGCTGACCACAGTTCAAGTCCTGGATCCAGTGGCTTAAACTCACGCCAGGTGCATGTGTGTGCGTGCCCAGGATCCCGAGACGAGTATGGAGGAGAAGGGATTGTGGCAGGGCCATCCCCACCGGGGGGTGATTTCTCGCTTTCTATCTCTCTTTCTGGCAAGTGCACACGCCCTATAGCAAAAATCCCCCTCCCCAAATTAACAAACAAAACCTGTAACAACTGTATCATTGGAGGAGGGGGAGCTAAAGCTCAAAGTTTGAGCGTTAAAAACTATACAGTTAAGGGCCAGGAGGTAGCATAGTGGTTAAGGTGCTTGACTCTCACATGCACAATTGCAATTTGAGTCTCAGATCTGGTGGGTTGAAAAATGACACTGGACGGGACTAGTAGATGGCATACTGGTTATGTCACTGGGCTCCCATGTGGTCGACTCAAGTCCAGGACATGGTGGCTTAAAACTCACACTGGGTACATGTACGTGCATGCCCGTGATTCTGAGAAGAGAATGGAGGAAGAGAAATTATGGCGTGGCAATTCTCCCTTGGGGGTGATTTCTTGCTTTCTGTCTCTGGTGAGCACATGTGCCCTATAGCAAAAATCCCCCCCCAAAAAAACCCCCAAAAACCAAAAACCAAAAAAACCCCCAACACAGTGCATTTGTGTGTACACGTCCCAAAATCCAAGGAGAATGGAGAAGGGACTGTGGAGTTGCCATCTGTGTGTGTGTGTGTGTGTGTGTGTGTGTGTGTGTGTGTGTACAGGGTGGTGAGATTGCTCACTTTTCCCCTTCACTGTTTCTGTCTCTGGTCCATCTGTGTGTGTGTGGGAGGAGGGGCAGTGTGATTGCTCGCTTTTCCCTTCACTGTTTCTGTCTCTGGTGAGCACACCCACCCTATGATAAAAACCTAGAAAGCAGAAGGCAGCAGGTGGCATGGTGGTTAAAGGCGCCAGATTCCCACATGGCTTACGGCAGTTCAGATCCCAGACCTCGTAGTTTGCTTTCTCACTTTCCCTTTCTGTCTCTGGTCAAATTAAACAACAACAATAACAACAACAAACAGAAATAAATAAGTAAATATTAAAAAAAAAAACCTAGAAAGCATATAGTTAGAAATAAAAAAGTAAAAATATACAGAAACTAAACATCAATGAATGCTTCCTACATTTGATCACATTTATGTTTTTTACTTAAGAATAAGACAACTTCCTTTCCCTTTATTATAACCATTCAAGTTTGCTGTTTTCTTTCTTTTTAAAGTAACCAATGGGGGACCAGCAGTTGGCGTAATGGCTGTATCACTGGACTCCCATGTAGTTGACTGTTGTGTGAGTCCCAGACATGGTGGCTTATACTCTCGCCAGGTGCATGTGCGTGCGTGCCCAAGATCCTGAGAAGAGAATGTAGAAGGGATTGTGGCATGGCCATCCCCTCGGGGGGTGATTTCTCACTTTCTGTCTCTCTGGTGAGCGCATGCGCCCTATAACAACCTCTCCAAAAAAAAGAAAAAGTAGCCAATGGAATCACTGTAAGTGATCTTTTCCCTTATCAATTACACAATCTTAAAACAAATTTTACTCAAATTAAGTTTTGGGTTCAGTCCCAAATTCCTGGCTTCATTTTCTACTGAATTATTTTCAAGCTCTCAGATACAATTTTATACTTTAAACATTAGACTATTCTGGTTTTTTTTTTTTTTTTTGAGATTTTCACTATAGGGTGCGTGCGCTCGCCAGACAGAGAGAGAGACAGAGAGACAGAAAACGAGAAATCACCCCCCAGGGGGGATGGTCACGCCGCAATCCCTTCTCCTCCATTCTCCTCTTGGGATCTTGGGCACACACGCACACGCGCCCGGCGTGAGTTTTAAGCCAATGGGTCCGGGACGTGAACCACGGTCGACTACGTGGGAGTCTAGCGACATAGCCATTACGCTAACTGCTGGTTCCAGACTATTCTGTTTTTTTGAGAGGAAGATCTTAGCTATAGGGCATGTGTGTTTGCCTGAGAGACAGAAAGTGAGAAATCACCCCCCAGGGGGGATGGTCACGCCGCAATCCCTTCTCCTCCATTCTCCTCTTGGGATCTTGGGCACGCACGCACACGCGCCTGGCATAAATTGTAAGCCTCTGGGTCCAAGAACTGAACCACAATGGACTACATGGGAGTCCAGTGATGTAACCATTATGCCATCTACTGGTCCTTAGACTATAGTTCTAAATTCTTTTTCTTTTCTTTTTTTTTTTTGGAGAGGTTTTTGCTATAGAGTATGTGCGCTCGCCAGACAGACAGAGACACAGAAAGTGAGAAATCACCCCCCAGGGGGGATGGCCACGCTGCAATCCCTTCTCTTCCATTCTCCTCTTGGGATCTTGGGCATGCACGCACGTGCGCCTGGCGTGTTTTAAGACACCGGGTGCAGGACTTGAACCGTGGTCGACTACATGGGAGTCCAGCAACATAGCCATTACGCTAACTAGTGGTCCCTATAGTTCTAAATTCTAGACTGAATAATGTGGACAGTTTATATAAAGATAACATCCCTGTCTTGTAATTATTTTTGTGGTGTGTGTTTGTGATGTTTAAGACAGGTTCTTTTTGTCACAATCTTCTTGCTTCAGCTTCCCTAGCAGCTGAAACAACAAATGTATACTGGCACATCCAGCTTTTTAGGATGAGCCACGAATTGAACCAGGGTCTCCCAGGTAGCCTCAGCCTACCACGCAGTAGCATCTAGCATATACTGCAACAAGGTTTTCTGTTTTTTCTTTTTAAAATTTACTATAGGGTACATGTGCTCACTAGAGAGACAGAAAGAGAAAGAGAGAAATTGAGAAAGTAAGCTTCCAGGACTCCAATCACAATTGGCCCTATTGGAGTCCAATGCCCTTTGCTGCCATGCCACCTGCTGACCCCAAGGCTCCCTTCATTTAATTAAAAAAAAAATCTGCTATCTTCTACTCATCTTTTTCTTTTTCCTTTTCCATTTTACTTTTTGGTATCCAACTGGTAGTTTGGTATCCTACGTATTCTTTGAGTGTTTTATATATCAGAGCCAATTAGTAGTAAGTTACCCAATACTGGGAGCTAAAATCCAATATTGCTTTGCTGGAGATGACTATTATAACTGTTGCCTCTAACTTAAGAAAATTTTACCATACAAGTAATCTATCCCATCTTTTTGTCCTTTTCTCTCTCTTTTTTTTTTTTTTTTGAGAGAGATTTTCGCTATAGGGCGCGTGCGCTCGCCAGACAGACAGAGAGAGACATAGAGACAGAAAGCGAGAAATCACCCCCCCAGGAGGGATGGTCACGCCGCAATCCCTTCTCCTCCATTCTCCTCTTGGGATCATGGGCATGCACGCACACGCGCCCGGCGTGAGTTTTAAGCCACCGGGTCCGGGACGCAAACTGCGGTTGACTACGTGGGAGTCCAGCGACATAGCCATTACGCTAACTGCTGGTTCCCTCCTTTTTCTTTTTTAAATTGCTAGAGGATGGGAGCAGGCAGGTGGAATGGCAGTCAAGGGTGCTGGACTCCCACATGGCCAGTTATGGTTTGAGTCCTAGACCTGGTGGCTTGCTTTCTTGCTTTGTCACTTTCTCTCTTTCTCTGTCTCTCTATTCTTCTCTGGTAAAATGAAAATAAATAAATAAATAAACTGAAATAAAATAATTCTTAAAAAAAAAATTGCTAGAGGATGGACGTGCTTACCCAAGAAAGACAGAGAGAGGGACAAAGCATGCCCTAATGGCGTATGGTTATGCCTCAATGTATTCTAATTCATTTCTCCATCTTGTTCAGATTTTGGGCATATGTGTACACATACCGGGTATTTTTTCCAACCGTTGGAGCCAGATTTGAACTGTGCAGCTAGTCATGTGGGATCTGGCTCCCTTAACCACTAGGCTTAAGAAAGCATCTCCCCAATGAGGCATAGTCAAGCCACAATCCCATAACTCCATTTATCTCCCCTATAGGAATTTGAGACATGCATGCACACGTACCTAGGTATCGGGTTTGGGATTCAAACTATACAGTCGGCCACAAAGAATTTGGCTCCTTTAACCACCAGGCCACAAGACTGGTCCACTTGTTTTTTATTTTATTTTTTCCTTCTTTTAAGAGGTTTTTGCCTTAGGGCACATAGACTCACTGAGGAGTCAGAGACAGTAAGATGGAAAGTGAGAAATCACGCCCCAAGGAAATGGACACACTGTAATCCGTTTTCCTCCTGGGATCTTTGGCATGCATACACACATGCCTGGTGTGGGTTTTAATATTTTTTAAACTTATTTTTCTTTTTAGAGATTTTTACTATAGAGTGTGTATGTTCACTGGAGAGACAAAGAGATAGAACTGAAAGTGAGAAATCACCCCAGGGGGATAGCTATGCTGCAATCCCTTCTCTTCCATTCTCTTCTTGGGATTTTGCTTAACCATGCATATGTGCCTGACATGAGTTTTAAGCTGCTGGTTCTGGGACTTGAAACATGGTTGAACATGTGGTAGTCCAGCAACATAACTATTATGTCATCTGGTAGTTCCCTGTTGTGAGTTTTAAGCCACTGAGTCCGGGACTCAAACCACAGTTAGCCATGTAGGAGTCCAGCAATGTAACCGCTACTCTATCTGCTGGCTCTCCATTTGGCTTTTTCTTTTTAATGAGAGAGATATTTTTGATATAGGGTGTAGGCACTTGTTTTTAAGCTGCTGGGTTCAGTACTTGAACCAGAGTTAACTACATGGGAGTCCAGTGACGTAACCATTATGCCATTTGCTGGTCCTGTTAAGAGAAATTTTTGTTACAGGGTGCATGTGCTTGCCTGAGAGACAGAGAAGTCAGAAAGTGAGCAATCTTCCCTCCCCCGCTCCACGGGGGTAAGGGTGAATGGCCACACTACAATCCCTTCTCCTCTCAGGATTTTGGGTGTGTGTGCATATGCACCTGGTATGAGTTTCATGCTGCCGAGTCTGGGACTCAGACCATGGTCAGCCATGTGGGAGTCCAGCGATGTAACCACTAGACCATCTGCTGGTCCCCCATTACTTGGCTTTTTTTTTTTTTTTTTTTTTTTGGGGGTTTTTTTTTTAGGGGGGCTTGAGAGGTTTTTGCTATAGGGCGCGTGCGCTCACCAGAGAGACAGAGAGACAGAAAGTGAGAAATCACGCACCCAGGGGGGATGGCCATGCTGTAATCCCTTCTCCTTCATTCTCCTCTCGGGGAGTGGGCACGCACACACACACGCCTGGCATGAGTTTAAGCCATTGGGTCTGGGACTTGAACCGTGGTCAACTATGTGGGAGTCCAGCAACATAGCCATTATACCAACTGCTGGTCCCACTTCATGGCATTTATAAGGACTGTTTGATTTAATACAATTTACCTTGAAGTCTTGCTTTCTGTAATGAGAAAGGGAAGAGATGGCTAAATGCTGAAACTGTTTTAATTCTGACATCCAAGTGACTATGTGGTACACTTTAAACTGGGGGAGGGCAGTGGTCTAACCACACAAGTTTTTATGCATGTTAACATGCAGAGACCTTGCCTTTAAAATGTTATCTTACTGACATAGTTTATAGAAATGTTTCTCCTAGTCTCAAATAATCCCATTATTGCCCTTGTTCTGGGAAGGCAGAAGTGAAAGGCAACACTGCATGATAATCTGGACACTTAGTCCACTTACGTCCTCCTTGTGTAGGAAAGCAAATGGAGGTCAGTTCTCTACATACAGTGATTCTGGATATTTATCCAACAAGCAAAGTCATGTTCAGAACTTCTGAAAGGTTTTTGATGTCTTCACACCCTTTATAGGAGCAAGCATTAGAATGGGAGGAAGGCCTGCTGTGGCACAGGTCACTCGTTACACTGCAATTCAATCTCGTTTTCTGATGCTCACCTGTTATCTCCATACCCTTGCTGTATTCTCCAGGATAACCTTTACTTGCCATGACGACAGTTATGGCAGTGTGGGTTTCTAGCCAAATGGGCAGAGATGTGCAGAGTAGGCCATCTAAAGTGGACTGAATCACTTCATAAAGATCACTTTTAAGAAGTGGAAGGATTACCTAGAAAAACACAATCAACATGGCAGCTGAAATACAATTTCCTGAGACATTTTATTCTTTGGGGTATTAGCAAAACTTCAAAGTATTTTTCAAAGATAATTATTTCAAAGCTAATAAATCCCAAGATCAAAGCTATACACATTTTACAAAGTAATGATTTATAATCGAAAATTGTTACCCACTTGGCACTCTGGATCACCAAAACGGCAATTAAACTCCAGAACTTTTGGGCCTTCCTTGGTCAACATTATACCAGCATAGAGGACACCTTCATTAAAAAACAAGAGAGTAAGAAGCAATGGAAATCTATTAATGAAGACATTACATTATGACTATAAAGTCTAGAATATAAAATGTGTGGCGATTTTTCTCCTCCAATAGAAAGCAAGCAATCTCGTAGCACTCAACAGCTGCACGTCTTCTAATGTACTTAAGTGTTCTGATGCTATCTACCTGGAGACAGCCATCAGGCTGAGGGCTCACTACCACAGTTCCACCAGACTGTCCCCACTGCAGATACCAGTTCTAAGTCTGTGTCTCTGGAACTTGTTACCAACTGGTTACAAAATGCAACATCCTTTTTGGGTTCCATTAATTTTCTAGAGCAGCTTACAGAACTTAGGAAACAACTACTTAAGTTTATTGATTTATTATAAAGGATATTTTATAGGATATAGATGAAGAAATGAACAGGGCAAGGCATGTGGAGGAAGGTACGGAGTTTCCGTGCCCTATCTAGATGCACCACTTCCAGAAATCTCCACGTGTTCAGTCATCCATAAACTCTCCAAATCTTGTCCTTTTGAGCTTTTATGGAGTCTTTACAACATAGGCACAAAATAGTAATAGACCAGTGGGGAAATCCAGCAAGGCCTATCTAGAGATTCCTGGTCCTTCTGTATAATATTTTTGCTTCCTGAGTAGGAAGGATAGGACCCTTCCATAATGAAGGTTTTATTTTGTAAAAGAATTATTTAATTTTATTTATTCATTCATTTGTTTTAATTTGAGCAGAGAGAAACAGAGACAGAGAGAGGGAGAGTAAGAAAACAAGCCAGGAAGTCCAGAACTTGAACTACAGTCATCCATGTGGGAGTGTCCAGTGCTCCAACCACCACATCACCTGTTGGTCCCCAGAATGAAGGTCTTTAAAGTGAGGGAAGATTAGTTTCTATGACCTACCTTAATCCTGTCTTGGAGAGAAACAAAGATAAAAGGCCAAATATCTGAGTCAAGAATCATGAATAACTATCATGAATAACTTCATGATAGTAATAAACATTCTAACAATGGTCCATTTAAAAAGTGTGGGGGGGTTGGGACCAGTAGATGGCATAATGGTTACGTTGATGGACTCCACGTAGTCAACCACAGTTCAAGTCCTGGATGTGGTGGCTTAAACTCATGCTGGGTGCGTGTGTGTGCTTGTCACACATCCTGAGAAGAATGGGAGAGAAGGGATTGCAGCATGGCCTTTCCCCCTGGGAGGGTGATTTTTCGCTTTCCATCTCTCTGTCTCTCTCTGGCAAGCACATGTGTCCTACAGCAAAAATTTCTCTCTCAAAAAAACCCTAAAAAACTAAAACAAAAACAAAAAAACTACAAAAAGTAGGGGGTGGTGGTGGTGAAAAAGTTTAATCAAAAGTGGTATGTTGAGCAAGCTCTGTGGACTGGTGGCTAAGGCAGCTGGATCCTCCATGACTATGGTTTGAATTCCAGCCTCAGAGGGTTGAAAATTAACACACAAGGTGCGTATGCATCGAGTGCCCAAACTTCCACCAGGGTAGAGAAAGGGAGGAGAAGGTATTACAGTGTGGTCATACCCTGTTAGAAAGTGCTCTCTCCATTTCCCTCTTTGTCTGTGAACACATGTGCCCTCCGGCAAATTAAAAACAAAACAAGGGGGGCCAGCAGGTGGGGTGGTGGTTAGCATGCTGGACTCCCATGTGGCAGATTGTAGTTCAAGTCCTGGATCTGGAGGCTTGCTTTCTCACACTTCTTTGTATCAAACTGCATAATAATAATTACAGATAAATAAAATTAAATAAATAACTCTTTAAAAAATAAAACAGAACAAAACAAGGGGCCAGCAGGCATGGTGGTTGAGGCGCTGGACTCCTACATGGCCAACAGCAGTTTGGGTCTTGCATCTAGTGGTTTACTTTCTCAGTTTTCCTCTCTATGTCTCTCTCTAGTCAAATAAAAGAAAAAAATGATAATAGAGAAGATTAAATAAATAATTTACAAACAAAACAAAGTGGCATGTTACTGTGTAAATGATGTCCATAATATCTATGCACTCACCTGTGTATGGAATGCCCTCTTGCTGCATGCCATCTACTGTCCTCTGAAGAATGCTATTTTTAATTTTTAGTAACAAATCCTTAGAAACCTGGGAGAACACATAGAAATACTTTAATGTAATTGGTATTTTTAAATGTCATCATTTGCAGTATCACATGGGACAATGAAGTTTTTTTTTTTTTAAAATGTATCTAAGACAGGGTGAACACATCAATTCAACAACTTCTGAAATCCTCACAATAATGACACTAACTATTTCAGCCTTATTTTTATAAAAAAGGGAAAAGAGCCCTTAAGAGGTCAAACATACCCTACACCTAAGGGAATATAACTAGCAAACTGTGGTATGATCATACCACCTATGCTCTAGGGTGTGTGCACTCACAGGAGATGGACAGAGCAAAAAGGAAAGTGAGAAATCACCCCATAGGTATGATCATACCACAGTCTGTTTTCTTCCACTCTCCTCTCAGAATTTTGAATACACATGCACATATGCCAGGCGTGCTTTTCAAGCTGTGGGATCTGGTCTCAAACTATGCAGTCAGTCATGTCGGACCTCCAGCCACCTTAACCTCTGCATCATCTGCTGACCCCATTTTGCAAAAAATTCATATTTTTATTTCTCAGCACCATTCAGATACATAAAAATTTTAATTTTTAAGTAATAAATGCTTTGAGTCTGGTAAATTATCATAGACATAGGATGGATTATGTGTTCATTGTCAAACAAAAATTAATGTCGACTACTAAAATGTAAATTATGGGACCAGCAGTTAGCGTAATGGCTATGTTGCTGGACTCCCATAGTCGACTGCGGTTCGAGTCCCAGACTTGGTGGCTTAAACTCAAACCAAGC